TATATATAATTATAACTGTTCACGTGAATTACAGTACAATTTTTAAAGTGTTTAGTCCACAATATTAAGTTGCGATTCAGTTTTTTGCAATTCAAATATGGATTATATATAATTCAACGGTGCTATGAAAACTGAAACCGACTTCAGTCTATTTAATGCAATGCAAATGTTAGAGTGGAAAGTGTGAACATCTCTGTCATTATTTCCACTTCCTAAAATCACAATGTCGTCAGTATACATATCGGTCGCAATATTCTCATAATTTGTAAATATTTCAGTGCTAGTAGCACCAGTTAAAATTAGGGAGGACGGTTCAAAAACGTCATTCCATTTCTCTTTTCTAAATTTTATTAATGCCGCGGATAATCCCTTCAAATGTTCGTCACCTAGAATATGGATTTTTCTTTTACGTTCCGTGGGCCCATCTGTTGGTGAGTAGACGAAACTTTCTTTGCTAGGCATGTAACCCTCTTTACGTACAAGTTTCGAATGCTTGTCGTCGTCATTCACTTTGTCCTCAGCTGATATAGCGACATAGAGTGTATCGCTTTTGTGTAATTATTATAATGTCAAAATATGTGTCAGTTAGTTATTTCGCCGTTCGTACTCCGTTTTTTTTTTGACATTGCATAATTCTCAGATAGCAAATTATCTATTTCATTTTCAGCTGTTTGTAGTTTTTCTTGTAACTTATGTATTTGTTGTTGTAGGTCCTCCACTTCGCTGATATTAGTAGGTCGCATCTCTGGGCAGGTACTATTTATTGTGATAGGCGGTCCAGGCAAGGAAGAATACTCCGCTTCGTCATCCGATAAGAGTTGAAAGGAGTTTTGTGATTGAGCGTTATATCTATTTCGGAGGGTAACATAATCTTGGTCCTTTGGAGATTCATTTGACCTCGTTTTGTGTGTTGGTGACCAATATAAATTAGAGAACACTCCTAATTTAGACCAACATTGATCACATCACGTCATTATAGAGAAACGTTGGAATGCCACACTGGTACAATCTAAGTGATATGTGCTTTCACACAGTACACACACTAAAAATTGTCTGTTCAATTTGTTTTCATTGCATTTAATGCACTGTTTTATACCGCTTTGAGACATTATTGCTGTTCAATGAAATAATAAAATAATCAAACGAGAGTGAAATAAGAAAAAGGTAAAATTATAACAACTGAAATTTTTACTTTTTACTTTTTTTTTTAAATATTTGAAAAAAAAAAAATTTCTTCTTCGTACAGTATATTTAGTGTACTGTTACTTCACGTCAAGTGAGGTATTTAAAGTGAGGTTGATTATTTTTCTATATCTAATTAATACAAAAATTACACATACCGTACTATCCAACAATTCACAAATCGAGTTCAAAATGTCCACCAAGTGGCGCCGGCTCTCACCGCCGGTGTCCTCGTCCAACCTCCTGAACGTCCTCGCGTCCATATTCGCGTGGGGTAGGAGATACGGCAAGATGGCGACCATGCGTCGGGCGAGGATAGATTGTTCTTCTTTGTATAATGCTCTGGAAATAATAAAGGCGTGGCTCTACTAATACAGCAGTCAATAGACTACCGATGAATATAGGTATCCAATCCCGAAAAAAGGTACAGGTTTGACCACAATCTCACGACAAACGGGCCTTATTGAAAATTATTATTATTTGCAACACTTGTCAGGGTAAATACCGTACTGACCAAATGCCATTTATAAATATCGTTTAGATCAGGTGTCGAAGTGATAACTATCATCATAATTATATTGGTAAATACACCATGATATAATTTTTATGAAATGTAGAACCACAAAATGATACAGCTAGCAATGTCGTGCCCTGTGTTTGTATCCGAGACGAAATCATACGTGTCGAATGTAATTTCTAAAAAGTCACAAACCTAATGGTTTCCCAAAGTTTTTTCTTCGTGTTTATTTAATTTTTTCATTGTTGTAAAACTATGAATTGGAATGGATAATTATCGGATAGCTATTAAAGAAAATAAATATATTGAAGACTTCGAACCCTGGTCAAGCCTCAAAATTATAATTTTTTTACATAGAAAATAGACACATCATGTGATAAACAATGGTACACGTTTGTCTACAAAATGCCTATATCCACTCTAGTCTTGAATGGCCAAATATTGCAATTTTCAGGAAAAGCGATGGTGATGATTTATTAATAAAAGCTTACGCGTTTTGTGATAAGGTGATGACAGACGAAGTAAAACGACGACCGAATAGTGACCAAGAAGTGGTTATTTAAACGTATGACGTTTTGCAGTGAGATGAGTAAACGCAGTGACGCAGCGATAACTTCTGCCGCCCGGGGCTAACCTTTCACTATTACGTAGTTAGTTCGGGCAGGTTCGGCTCGATTGTGTTTTTGTGTTAGCCTGCCGTCGTTACATTATATGGTAATATTTTCTCAAATAGTGGAATTTATTTTCTAACTTGAAAAGTCGATACCGCTTCTGCCCGAATTCAAATATTTCCCGTACCAACACAAATTTTGCTTTGGGTCGAGTGGCAGGAACACTGGCTTTATTTCAGATTTTATTTTTTTACAAAAGAAATTAAAGCTATTTGAAAAATGTATATCGTATACTATACGTGTTCTATTTAGTTCAGGTGATATAAAAAAAATGGTAATGTAAAGTACTTATTGAATGAACACTTTTTTTTTTTAATTATTTTAACTGCCTCCGTGGCCGAACGGTTACCATTCAGAGGACTGCCAAGCAGAGGTCCCAGGTTCGATTCCCGGGCCGGGAGAAATTTCTCTCGTGAGTTTGGGTGTAATTTGTGATTGTCTATGTGTGTGTCCATGGCACCCGCGACACAGGGTTTCCCTAGTGCGGGGCTGTGTTGAGTGTGTGAGTTATTATTATTAAAAAAAAAAAAGTTTAATGTGTTAATGTTTAATATTTCATTACCTCGCAATTTTACCGCTGTTTTCTTGTAAAATTGCGAGGTAATTAAATTGTTATTGAATTGATATTCAATTATTTTTTATGTGAAATTACTCCACTAGTTTGTTATAATTAATACAAAAATCGTTCACTCAGAAAAAATTCCTTCGATCCGGCCGGATTCGAACCGACGTCTTCTAGCTTACCGTGCCAGACGCTATACCAACTAAGCCACGGAACGAACCAGCGAACCTCACGAATTTTTCTGTGAGTTTGTTGTGGTGTCTCTGTATTTCGTCTTTTCAACGACTTTTTAGCCGTAGCGCCATCTATGAGAAATGTCAAGTATTGCGTCACCCATGTTTATTGCGAGGTAGGTTCGTGTTTTTTTTCTATCATCAAAATTTTTAGGAACCATGTTTTCACACTGTATAGTATTCAGCTTTACTAAATATTTTTGCATAAGTGATTGATTCAACAGTTTCACTGTTATACAGAATCAACCTAAGTCATTTGAGGTTGTATAGACTCTTAAGTAAAAACAAAAAGGTTTTTGACTAATCAGGGCCCGCCGCCGTCGCCATTTGGTGTGTCGTCCACGGCCATGGCTCCCTTTGCATCACCCACGCTACGCCACTGGGTAGACAACATCGTCAAAGGCGGGAGATTAAAACAAGATCGTGGTGTGTGGTACAAGTTACGCATTGGGTGAACTTCTGGCTATGAATGATACCACATCATGTCTCATTACTCAGATCCGTCGTTCAGGCACTACAGAATCGTCAGTAAAAAAATAACACGCTAATAGTCTATACTAACTTGCCACTTATCAAGTCTCGCTCTTCTATAACGTGATAAGTGTTAGTCGTATCGATGTACTTCTCGTCCATTTCCTTCTGGAAAGCCGTCGTCATCTTCTGGGATATCGCTTGTAGATCACTCTGTACGCCTCGCAGGACAGTTTTTATTGATGTTATCACCTGGATATAATACGTGTACGGTATAAGACTGATTTTACGTTAAACGTAAACTATACTTAGACTATAGACCATAAGTTCCCAAACTCTTTGGCCCATCGCTCACTGAGGCAAGATAAAAGAATTTCAACGCTCACCACTACAAACAATTATTGAAAACACATATTTTTTATGTTAACTTAACACAAAAAAATTACACTACCATAGGACTCTTCAGCGCCACTGGGGCGGTAGGGACCAACTTTGGGAAACTGTACTGTAGACTATAAAGTACTTGTAGATTGAATCATCAAGATCAGACCAGTGCCTCCCTCTAAAGTCAATGAATTATAGTAGTGTATTATGTTCTATATTTTTATACGTAACTAGCACTGTAGTTAGAAAAGTATTGTAAATGTAAGCAAAAATATAACTGTCTTGTTTTGATTTTCTGCCTTTATTCAGAGGTTTTAGAGTGAGGATTAACCATTTAGTAACCATTGGCTATTCCAAAATTTGCTGATTATGCATTCTCATAATAATGATAAACATTTATACATATTTAAGTTTTTTTATTGAATGTCACGCTATTTCACCGTGATATTCAATTATTTATGTGAAATTACTCCAGTAGTTTATTATAATTATTAATACAAAGATTGGTCACCAAAAAAAATTCCCCATGCAAAACATTATGCCAACTAAGTAACGGAATGAGCCAATAAAATCATATGTCTTTCAATCAATTATAAATCTTATGTCTAGTAATATAATCGAATCTCACTTTGTATTTGTGGTCCATAACAACAACCATCGAAAGTTGCCTGTCTATATACTTATATACTATGTCTATATACTTACTTTGGAAAATCTCTTTCTAGTTGTATCCGCTCCATCGACAATAAATGTCAATTCCTCATAAACTTCTTTCAAATCCACTTTGCAGTTGACATCCCTCCACGCCACAGGAGTCGAGGGAACTCGGTGGAATGTACTGTATATGCGACATTTATGCCGAGATAGGTCCGTCTGCTTTTGAAGCTTTTCATTGTATTCTAAAAGGGAGTCGTGTTCTGTTGTTGGCTGTAGGAGAACTTGGAATATTGAGGATAGTTGTGATTGTTCTGAAAATTTTAAACTAAAATTTATCTTGAAGCCGTGGTGGCCTAACAGTTTGATCTACCACTTCTCAAGCAGATGGTCGTAGGTTCGAATCCCACCTATGAGTTTTTCGGAAATTATGTGCGAATAGTTGTCCTCTTAGTGGTACTAAAATAAATGGAAAATTTTACCAGGCTATCAGTTGATTTTTTTGTAAAGAGCCCTTAAAATCTAGAAATTCTGAATTAAAAACAATTTTTTATCCCTCAATTTCCAGAAAATCTTAGAAAGAATTTATTGTAATTTTTTAGCTGGTGTGCTAGTGGCAAATGCCACAAAAATATTTTGACAGATCAGATGTCAATGTCATTCTTCTAGCAATTCAATTCTAGAGCTAATTTTTTAAAAGATTTTGATAGGTTTTTTTCAATGATATGCTCACTGGGTTTTTTAATCATTTAGCGTTTAAGTGTTGCTGCTTTTTGTAATTTTTTAGTATCGCAGTGTTGCTGGCTATAAATTTAACATATCATAAAATGCAGGTCGTAATATTATTATTATTCTGCTAAGCTCTTTAATTCAAGCTTACATCCATAATTAAAGAATTTGAGGCTGGTAAAATTTTTCTGGAAATATATTACTCCATGCAAATTCGGTAAAAGTCTTTTAATTTGAAATTTACCATGAGCTTTTCAGTAAAGGAAATACGTAGTGAGGAAACCTGTGCGTCGAAGAAGGTTCGCAAATCTTTGGAAAATGCAGTCCTCAACCCGCATTGGGCCATCGAGTGTGGCGGACTGTGGCATAAACCCTTGCCTGAGGGGAGACAGCAGTGTGACGTATTGTATAGTTGATGATGATATCTTTTCAAATGTGTATAATAATAATCGCATCTCCCAAGTACGTCTGCGACAGATAATACGGCGTTTTAATAAAAAAACATGTTAAATTTGATACCTAATCTGAAGCTCATGTTAAGCTTTATAAAGTGAGCTTTGTCTTCAGTCTGTGCAGCAATCGAGGTTGTCTTCACACGTTTCGTTAGCGGTGCCAGGGATTCGTTAACACTCAAGTTTTTGTGACTGAAAAACGATTATGCTATTATGTTATATTCCTTATTTATTTATTTTGCTAGAGACTGCAACAGCTTATTATTGCTAGGTTTTTGATTTGCTAGGAATTTGAAACAGAATAAAGGTAATTAAGCTATTCTCAAAATACACTTATATTAATTATAATTTGCAATAAATAAGTGTATTATGCACATGTGATAATTTAACATAAATTGCTATGTATTGTCCTGTTTTTTTAATTATCATTTACAGGTGGATCACAATTATAGTGTACCTAAAAATTTGCTTTTGGTTCATTTAATATTGTGTGTAAAAAAATATAAGTACCTGGAAGATATGTCATTATTTGCAACTGTCACTTGCGTAAGTTTGATCTTGTTTGACTCCAGCATCCTGCACTTTTCCTTTATGCTGATTATTTCCAGGTTCTACAATATATTGTAAATATAAAACATATAAAAATAAAGCACGCATTTACATGAACAGCTGACTAAATATAAATTGTGAACTGCATAAATATGATACTTGTTCAAAATATGATTACGCGCTGTAATGTTGCGTAAGTAATTTGCAAAGTATGTACAAAAGGCCGTAGGAAATATAATTCTTAGTATTTCAAAGCAACGTGTTTCATGTAAGGGCATTGTCCTGTCAAGGTAGGTTCTGAGTTTCTCATACCTCCAATGGTAACTCCTCATGTAGCCTTCATTTCTGAGGTCTATGCAATTTATGCTCGGTTTTCCTCTACTAAGCTTTCCATCCATTTTCCTCTTATAACAGTTTTAATTTAGGGTAAGTTTAAAGGGTTAAAAATGGGATCCGTTCGTTATGGCTCCATAGTGTATGGTCCCGATTTTAATAAATTTTGGATCAACATTTTTTGTCAGATATATCTAGTCTATTTGCATTAAGTACTGTTAGCAACTAAAATGTTTCTGAATTAAATACTCAAGAATATGAAAAATAAAACATTTAAATTAATGTGTTTTTGTAAATAAATCCGTCCATTTGTTGTAATTAAGCAAAAACTGTGATTATATTAGGTACTTTAAGTAAAAAGAAGACGATTTTGTATGTTCAACAATTGTTATTATGAAAAGTCTTTTTTTTGTCCAATTTTGTAATAATTATATAAATTTACATGTTTGTACTAGTTATAATTTTGTTAAAACTGATGTGTGTAAACTTAGGTATTTTGTTTGAATTATTATTTACATTAGTTGATTATGAATGATATAAAAAAAAACTTATTTTGATTAAAACAATTACTTTCCATGTTGTCTTGTTATTACTCAATAAATAAAGGATTTAAATAATTATAACTTGTACTACTGTACCAAAGGAGTTTTTTATATTATTTAAAATTATTTTCATAGCGGCTACTATTACATTCCTTTTCAATTCTCTTTTCTTTTTGTAAAAGCATTTTTGTGTCTCCCAGTACATTTCATTAAAAAATAGCTTTGAATTACATTTACCTAACTCAAACTATATATATACAAAGGGATATAAGGGTGTTTGTAGCATAATCATACTTCCTGTTTAAAAAAACATCATTTATAAAATTACTAATGGACTTTTGTAAACGGAGATATTAAACAAACCTTAAAGTCGAGCTGTGTCCTCAAATCATGCACTTGTCCATTAGAAGCAGTCAGCTTCTCCATCCACTCCATCTGTGCTTTTTCCTGCGCTTTGATGCGCTCTAAACGAGCATTGTCTACTGTCGCTTGGCATGTTTTTAGCTGAGTGCGAAGTATTGATGCTTCTCCTGAAATTGTTAAAATGTAGTACAGATTACTGTTATCAGTTACAAATATCAGCTCTTGTAGATGGTATTAAGACAAGTCAGTTGTGTCCAACTACCCACTACAACCAGTATATTTTTTTTACAATACCCAGAGACGGGACGAACAAGTCGTCGTAAGCGACACACCTATCCATAACAGTTGCAGTGCTACTCAGAGCTTTAAATCGCAAAGATCTTAGGGGCAGGAGCTCGGCAGCAAAAATAGGTAATGTGGCAGTACTTCCCTGGACAAACTTTTTTACAGAGCTCTACCGATACTAAATAGAAGTCAGGAACATCAGAATTTTTGTAAGTCTGATTGATTTTACACCTGTAGTTGCTGAGACATATAGCCTATGAAGGAATAGATTGGTCATTTTAGAGAAGGACGCTTATTTATCCAATAAGTTTAGAAAATAAGTAATATGTAACAACATTTTGAAACTTTCCTAAAGTAATATTTGATTCGTACTTAACATTCAATATGTGGCTATATAGATGTTATATATTTAATGAGTAACTGGAAGTACACCAAAAACTGAAAAAGACTAAAACAAAAGGAGAAATTGAATTCCATAAAAAGAAATGCAATGTGTATGTAGATAAGCATCTGGTCCTATTTGCTGTGCAACTTACTTCAACTACTCACTTAGAAGGTGAAGGACCGTTGAGATGTGAAAAATCTTCAATATGGTTTTTGCTTTGTGGATCAATTTGCCACTACCTCTTTCTTTATGGACAATTGACTTATGACAAGATGAAACCAGAATAAAAAGTTATGAGTTCTGATTAACCTTACCTTCCTTAGTAACACATTTTTCCAATAATTTTCCATTTTCTGACTTTAATTTGGCATTCTCCTCTTGAAATTGCAGCAGTTGTTTATAAACATAATCGGCATCGCCTTTGTACACCTTATCATTGAATATTAGATCATCAGATATGTTCACTTCAGTTACTTTGGTTGTTACTTTCGATGATATACCTGGTAGTGGAGATGATATCCTACTAAGTTTATCTTTTAAGTTTGTTGATACAATATTAGAAGGGACTGCACTGGGTTTCTTGAACATAAATGAGGCTTTAGACGTACTGGGGCCTGGGTCAAACTGAGTGCTTGTGGTAGCCGGTTGCATACATAATGAATAGTCAGGTAATATACTAGTATCGTCGTTGCACGCTTGTTCACAAGCTTGGCTAGCCAGTAGAAGGATTTCATCATCATTATCGTCACCCCAAGTGTCTGCTTGATTGGATTCTGACGAAAAAAACAATAAGTTTAAGTCAAAACATAACCTAAAATTGTACTTGTTTATTTACATACAATTCAATTGTAACTTGCAAAACAATGTAAAAGTAACATTAAAAGCTCTCGTCAGAAGTTGTGAAATAATGAAAATTATTTATTTACCTTTGCTAGGCCCAGAGTTCTGACTCAAAGGGAAGTTGTGATCGGAAATTGAAAAATCAAGTTTTGCTTTTTTCCTTTCCCCGTTTTGTTGGGGAAATATAAATCTTTTAGACATTGTTATAGAAATTGTTGTCTAAATACTGTCCATTCATCACAAAATTAAAGCTTTTTGATTTTGGCGGCTCCACACATAAATAACAGCTGGCAACGCCAGAAAAAAAAGCCAAAAAGTGTCCTTAGGCTCTAAACACATACTGTTTAGTAAGTTGATTAGCGTCTGATAATGTCAGAGAGTCTGACAGTTCCTCTGACCGAAAATTTATAAAGTTTACGGTTTCTCATAGCTACCATACTTAAAAAAAGATTAACTCTCTTGTCTCTTGTAAAGATCTATTTCTGTTTGTATTTTGTCTTTGGTTCAGTTCGTCGTGCATTCGTGAACGCAGAGGACGTTTATCATGTCTGAAGGATATAAACTTGGTGATCTGGTTTGGTATGTAGCTGAAAGTGATTGTAAAATGTAGTGTTTTTAGTGTTGATTAATTTGAAGTATGTATAACGTACGTGGTGTGTTTGTTTCAGGGCGAAAATGAAGGGTTTCAGCCCGTGGCCCGGCCGGGTAAGCAGCTTGCTATTATCCACTTCGGAATAAAAAGTCATGAAAGCATTTCCTGCCATCTATGTCGAGAAATACATGTTGAGCTTTGTAAACATGCAGGCCGAAGTTTCATTTGTTGATAAAGTTTGTATAGTATAGACAAATATTATGGGCGGGAAATGTACTCTTTATTACGTGTCAGGACGCTAAGGGACGCTATGACGCTTTCTACGAAGATTTTAGACACATAACAACATTAAGAACATGTAAAAAAAAACACAAAGTTATAAGTAACCTGGTTACCAAAATACTTTAGGGTAAGTACTACCTATTGATTGATAACCTAATATTTGTTCACTGGTGGGTTCCAGGTAGCTATTCCCACACCTGAGTTGAAGCCACCAAAGAAAGCCACTAATATGCAGTGCATTTACTTCTTTGGTACTAATAACTAGTAAGTATATTCATAATACAAATCTACTCTTTAAGGTCCTAGACTTTATGTGATATACTATGTGTTCAATGGTAGTTGAAAATAAACTCAGTAAGGTTATATTTAGAACCTATATTGTTGTTTTGATGCTTCATGTGAATATAACTAGTATTGTATATTTAAATAAGTTACTTTTCTATATTTTAAACATTCAACTATATAATATGGCATAATTTAAACTAGTAATTCACTAGAATAACTCCTTGTTATGGTTCATTGCAGTCTAGATTTCATAATAAATATTTTCCCCAATACACGGCGAACTAAAAAAGAAAGTATCTTCTGTCCTATTCATCCATAACACATGCCACCAATATATGGTCTGCAGAAGTCGCATCTAGATGTTTTCTATATTAGCATTTGTACCATAATTTTGTTTTGCTAATTTATGACACGCTCACTAAAAAGTAAACCGAGTGAGGTTTTGTCAAAATGGCACTAGACTGCCCTGAATTCCGCCAGATTCTTGGTGTCAATGCCATACTTCATGTTTCACACTTCCTGAGCAAATTGTCAAGTTTGTCAAAAAAATGTAGCTGATGCCTGAAATTACTTTCTGGATTGTTTTCATTGCCCTTTCCCTTTTTGATATAGTATTTTTGTGACATCCATTAAAGCAATGTCCATTACTCTGTGTCCACTGTGTGAGTGACCCAGGCGATGTATATCATAACTCAATTTTACATCATTGATTAGGAAGGAATATCTTCCAAGTCCTGTTGTAGGACAACTTGAATAGGGGTAGTGTTACTGGATCTTGAATGTATATTATTATGAAAAATAATACAAGCTTAAGTATTATTTCACAGAGATGTACAAAACAATCCATATAGAAGACAAATGCAGAACATATTCTCGCTTGTTCCAATCCTAACACGAGATGGTTCAAACTTAGTTAAATTCTACTTTTGAAAATACTTCAAACAAAATTTTTTGCATTAGTATGTTATACATACATGCATTTCATTTCTGATAGACAGATGTATGTTTGTTTTTTATTTATTATCACAGTTTTTATTGCTGTAAGTATACTATTTGTTTAAACATAATTCTCTAAAGCATAATTCGATGGCCCTAATAAACCTGTATTATTTAGCATTTATTATATATTATACATGCTTATTCAGCGTAGCCCTTGAATTGGAAGAATGCATTCATGTCTGTGATATAGAGACAAGAAAAAACTACAAGGGTTCCTAATTTGATTTTGAAGATTTTTTTTTTCATTTTGTATTTACAAAATGCATAAGAAAATATATGAGTGTATTTCAAATATTATGCAAAATATTAATTGTACTCATTTTGTATTTCACTATTTTAACCAATTACATATCAGCAGTTTAGTTCAGAGAGCAGTCAAGTGGCACTTGCTGACCTAGACAACAAACTATGTACTTACAATGTGATCTAACATAATGTTATGCATGTGAATACAGTTTAACACTATTTGTGTATTTATTAGTATTCATAAAAAAGATCTTTGAAAGTACTAGTTGGAATAAACCTGGCTGGAATAAACAAGCCATGGGTGTACGCGTATCGTCATTATCATCAGTTTTCGCCTCTGTGTGAAGCAGGAGATAGCACTTCCTAGATTGCTCAACAGCTGGTCAATTTCAATACTGTCTTTAAGTGCCCCTCCACGCTAAATTTATTTTTCTACTTGTACCTCCAGATTGTTCACCCCACACTAAATGTACTTTCGTATTTGTTCCTATCTTTTTTAATATTTGTTTATTTATTTATGTAATCACGCCCTTACATTCCCATTGGGGTAGGCAGAGACTGTCGATCGCCACTTAGCACGATCCTTACAAACACTCTTATTCTTCTCATTACGCACTTTAGACTTTTTAAGTACACTCTCAATTTGGTCAGAGAATGTTCTTTGTGGCCGTCCTCTTCTAAAGATTCCTTCTACGTTAGCTCTATATATTTCTTTCGCTAAACTACGTTCATTCATCCGCTCCATGTGCCCAAACAGCATAGCGTTTTCTATTTTTGTCACATCCTTTTTCAAACCATTTTTCACGGATCACAGCACTCACAGATTCTTCACTCTGTCATACAGCCGCACAGCACATATTCTTCTGAAGGATCTCTATTCAACTGCATTCACTCTATTGTCATGCTTCTTCTGCCACACCCAACACTCACTCCCTTACAATAGCGTTGGAACCAACACAACATTATGTACTGCCATTCAAATCAAATCAAATCTTTTATTTCTTTGTGATACACAGGTTATAAAGTTGTTACAAGAATGAATTTTGAATCACTGTGATCCGCCATTCGTGCTTTCTCAGATATAGACTGGCTGCTCGTCATTCCCTTTACGTCCTCGTTCACCGCATTTCCCTTTTTTATTTACTTCTTTCAATGTCTCTTACATTTACCGTCCCTTATAACCATGCATCCCAGGTACACAAACTCTTTTTTACTTGTTCAAATTTCCATCGATTTCAAGTACGCATTCTTACATGCTATAATTTTTTTTCAGAAGCCATTATTTTAGTTTTATTTATATAAAATATAAGTTCACTCTGTAACACAATGCAATCAATATGAAGTTGATAACTCTCCCCTTGGAATATGCATTGGGATCTGCAGTAGTAGTCAAGCTGGAAAACGGCTGCATCTTAATTGATTCTTAAATTAAGCACATTGCAGTACCCCAAGCTAATCAGACTGATAAAATCTTGACGATTGTGAACCTTGAAAGTACATAATCATTGGAAAATGTCTAAAGTCAACCCGTATTGGGTCAGCGTGGTGGTTAGAAGAGACCCGCGCCTAGTAATGGAATATATAAGGGTTGACGATGATGTAGACGAAAATATAGATAAATGTCTCACACTTTTTTTTTATTTTTTCTTAATGCACACACTCATAGTGCACCAGGGAAATCTTGTGTTGCGAATGCCATGGATACACACATAGACAACCAAACTCAGGAGATAAATAAATGTAGGCCGTACAAATATTTCACCCGGCCCGGAAATCGAAACCGGGACCTCTGGCTGGCAGACCAGCATGGTAACCGTTCGACCACAGAGGCAGATAAAAAAAACTTGTAAATTCTAAATGGCTTGGATGTAAATTATAATACTATTTATGAGTGAAATTATAAATATAAGTGATATTACACTGTTAGATCACATGACGTGGTTTACTTATCATCTATCTCTAATTCATCCAAAAATGTGTTATGGTCAAATGCGTAACAATCTGATATTCCAGTTTAATTATGATGTAAAAGAATCATATGATTTAGAGATCTGATCTCAAATAGTGCGTCTGGCAGACTTATCTTAATGCCTTTTTATCTGCACTTTCAATTTCAGTTACGATCAAAAGAGCAGCTTAAGATCCTTGTCACGATATTCAATTTGTTAACCAGTTCAGGTGTTTTTCAATTCACTGATAATATTGACGGTAACTGTACTATGGGGTCCTGAGTGACAAAATTAACTTCCGTTCTATTTAGTATTCACGAAATCCGCATTCTATAAAATTAATACATTATTGTTTATTAATATAAAGATTGCACTACACAAAGAAAAATTCTTCCAATCTGACTATTAGAACCAGCGTCTGTTGTCAAAAGCTGTGGTAATATTGTTGACAGGAGCCGTGGCCCTGGCATGGCAACAGACAGACAGTGGAGGTTCTAAGGGTCGTATTCCAGAACTCTACTCAATGCTCAAGTCAGGATTTCAGCAGACTGGAGTATGATTTCAAGCACTGGAAATACGACCCTAATGGTAAGGACTTGCGTATGATTTCTAGTGCTTTAAATCATACTCAAATCCTGACTTGAGCATTGAGTAGAGTTCTGGAACACGACCCTAAATTCGATTGTATTTTTTTATGTATGTTACCCGATAACTCATTTGTAAACCGATTTTGATAATTCTTTTTTTTTGTTGGAAAGATGGTACCTCAGTATTGGTCTCTACCATTAATAATTGGTTAAAAGTGAGTTAAAAGATTTTTAACCGACTTTAAAAAAAGGAGGAGGTTCTTGACTGTATTTTTTTGTGTATGTATATTACGCGATAACTTGATAATTCATTTAATTATGAACCGATTAGATGATTCTTTTTTGTTGGAAACAATGTATACCTCAGTATTGATCCTATATAAAAATATTACACCTGTAAGGGTTGCAAACTATGGGTTGGATATCGGGTTTCGCTTACTTTCCGGTAAGCTATTTCAATCAAACTTAAAACTTCGCAAATAAATGTAGTTCCACGAACTTATTTAGGTCGGTTTTGTTTTTTATAAAAAAAGTTATTCTTTGTGTTGGTCGATCTTGTATCAAGAATAATATGACTATCATGGTAGTAAAAACACATCACGATATTAAATAAATATATATATATATATGCACTAACTTCATATGATAAAAATGTGATTGGGCCTTGGAGTAGAAAGTACATGAAGCGTATTTCCACCAGCGCGTGGATTGAGGACCACAACATCAAGCCGTACAACGAGTTCAAGGAGACTCTGATCAAGTCTTGCAAGACCGCAGCTTTCAAGGAGGCCGTGGCCCAGATTGAAGATTTCATCGTTAATCCAGAGGTAAGACTTCATGACTACAATAATAATAATAAATTAGTACATATGCAGAACTCAAAATTTGGCGATAAATAATAAATAATAATAAATAAATAAATAAATAACGCACACACTCAACATAGCCCCGCACTAGGGAAACCCTGTGTCGCGGGTGCCATGGACACACACATAGACAACCACAAATTACACCCAAACTCACGAGAAAAATAAATGTAAGCCATACAAACATTTCTCCCGGCCCGGGAATCGAACCTGGGACCTCTGCGTGGCAGTCCGGCATGGTAACCGTTCGGCCACGGAGGCAGTTTAAGAATAAATATAACATTTACATACAGCATTTGAAATCGCACAGGATATCAAATGCTGTCGTAACTCAAAATTAAGAAGTATTAAGAAGATCTTATTGCGAATAATGGGATTATTTTTATTTATACGTAATATTCAGCTATCTTCTTATAAACGAGAATATAAACAGAAATGTTCATCGATTTATTTCAATTCCACCATTTTTGAGTTTCATGTGCGATATGAAATCCTTATATATAGGAATTATCCCTATTGTCCTTTGCACAACAGGCGTTATCCCAAATCTCGATAACCTCAAATTATTTGTGTTTAATAAAACACTGTAAAAAGCTGTAATTTTCAGTTTCTACCGTCCATTAAACAAAACGCAGCTAAGTGACAAATGGGTAAATATCTGTTTTAAATAGCAAAAGATAAGAGTACAAAATTCTCTTTTAATAACAACCAAAATTAGTTAACGGGTTTTGACTTATTGGAACTTACCCTAACGATGCGCAGCTGAAATATCATTAAACATTTTCAATATTCTAAAAGTGGGTTATGGTTTTTTTATGATATCTGAAAAAATAATTTTGTCGCTTAGCCGCCTTTTTAGTTAGCAGACGGCAGAATTGTCAGAAAGCTCATGCAGTTAGCAGAAAAATAGGCTCTCATCACATCTGTACACACCATTACACTAAGCGGCGAGTCGCGGGCGCCTGACTGCGCGTAACTCTTTGTCTTTTAAAATAACTCATTCTACCATACCCATTGACGCGGCCGCGACCCTGAAGTAAATAAAACTAGCCCCTAGAATCGCTAACTAGACTGCAGTCGCTCGTGGCTAGCCGCTTAGTGAAAAATGGCACTCACTGCATTTATTTGATTTCGGTCCGTAAATGCAGTTAAAACCAGCCAAAAGGCTGAGAAAAGGGCACATAATAATAATAACTGGTGATAATAATAATTAATAATGGGTCAGTCACGCCGTACAGCATTTACTTGATTTCGGTCCGTAAGTTGGTTCAAACCAGCCAAGAGGCTGAGAAAGAAGAAAACAATAATAATGTGCTTAATAATCACATCAATTACCCGGTCTTAACTAGTTAACTGCCTATACTATGACCAATAGAAATCAATCCAAGGCCTTTACTTAGAACACCCATCAGAACAATTTCTACAAAAACTTGTTCTAAGAAGTCCATTTCCTAAATTGGTCCTACTCAATGTCGATCTCGGGACCTCTTCATCAAGCGCTCACAATGCAAACCGTTCGGCCACCAAAAATATTACTTAATTACATTTCAGTTAAAAGGAATTATGAATAATAGTAAAAAGCCGTGGTAAGCTAATGGTTTTATATCTCAAAGAGGCCGTAGTTTCGAATCCGGGCCCGCACCTCTGAGTTTCTCGGAACTTGTGTGCGAAATTGAATTTGATATTTACCATGAGCTTTCTTGTTTTTAAAGCCTATACTGTCCCACTGTTGAGCAAAGGTCTCCCTCCCCTCTCTCCACACCTCTCTGTTTTGCGCCAAAGTGGTCCAGCCCTTTAGGTGCGCGTCTAGCTCGTCTCTCTATCAACGCTTTGGCCTGCCGATTGGTCGTTTTCTATCTTTGAGGATCCATTCTGTGGTGACTTTCGCCCACGACTCATTAGACATGCGGCAGACGTGACCTGCCCAGTCCCATTTTAGTTTGTTGTCCACATGATTCGTGTTTTTGGAGCGCAGATCACTGTTCCTAATTCGGTCGGACAATTTGACTACCAGGATGCTGAGCTCGTTGGTAGACCCGTTGGCTTTTCGGTGAAGAAAAAAGTCATGTGACGAAACCTGCACGTCGAAGAAGGTTCTCAACCTTCGGAAAACGTGTTAAGCCTCCAACCTGCACTGGGCCAACATGGCAGACTTATGACCTTAAACCCTCGCCTGAGAGGAGACCCGTGCCCACCAGTGGGACGTTATAAATGGGTTGTTAATGATGAGCAATAGTAGGGCCTTCTTTGTCCAAAGATTTACCTGTTAACCATTGGCTATTTTCACTGCTAAAGCAGCAACGACAACTTATCTGAGAACATTTAATATAGTACATAACATGGCCTACCAGATAAGGGTGACAAAGTTTTTTGACTAAACTGGCGTGTGTGGAAGTGAATGGAGCGAAAGTGGTACATTGGCTAATAGTCTCTGCCTACCCCAGTGGCAGACTGGCGAGATCGTATGTATGTATGTTTTGTTTTGCACCATGCTATGTTGCGTGCTTGTTTTAAAGAGTTACTTTTTTAGAAGGGTTGCTTCTGAATTGAGAGGTCATTAGTTCGAACCCCTGTAGTGGCAGATACCTATGACTTTAATTTCTAAGGTACATACATTTATTAATGTTTAGTAGACATACCCCACTACATATTGAGCCAGGTTGGTGGACTAGACTATGGCCTACACCCTATCCTTAGAGGAGACCCGTACCCAGCAGTGGGAAGTACAATGGGCTTGATAATGACGACGAATAATTATTTCTGATAACACGTATATTAAAGTCATAAATGAATGTCTGCAGGAGCTGTAATATATTTATGCGAAAATAATAACAATAATAATAACGCACACACTCAACATAGCCCCGCACTAGGGAAACCCTGTCGCGGGTGCCATTTACACACCCACAGACAACCTCAAATTACACCCAAATTCACGAGACAAATAAATGTAGGCCATACAAATATTTCTCCCGGCCCGGGAATCGAACCCGAGACCTCTGCGTGGTAGTCCGGCATGGTAACCATTAGGCCACGGAGGCAGTTAGAAAAGAAAACTGACACCTCAGAGGGCAAGGCTAAAGCAGGATGGCGGAATGTGGCTACGGAACGTTAAGGTCGTATTCTAGAACTGTACTCAATGCTCAAGTCAGGACCTGAGTATGATTCAAAGCACTAGAATTCATACTCAAGTCCTTGCCATTAGGGTCGTATTTCCAGTGCTTGAAATCATACTTAAGTCTGCTCAAATCCTGACTTGAGCATTGAGCAGAGTTCTAGAATACGACCCTAAGAGTGCTGCTTGAAAGGGAACTGAACGTAAGGGGAAAGGATAGCAAGGAAAGAGAGAGAGGGGAAATAGAAAAAGGCGATCAGAGTAGGACGCGTGCAAAAGGTCATTGACGTATTTTTTAAATCGAATTAAAGGCGAGTTGATGTGATTAAACTGCATTTTATTTAGAATACATACATTGACAGCATCATTTAGTAGCAGCAGAGCTCCTTGTGAAAGAATTCGTCTATGATAGTACTGCCACCATACCTATTTCTGCCGCCAAGCAGTAATGTCAGCTTTACTGTGTTCCGCTCTTGAATGGTAAGGGTGCTGGTGAAATTACAGGCACATGGGACTTGTCAACTTATGTCTCAGGGTGGCAATGGCCCTCACATCTTTGCGAATTAAAGCTATGCGTGGGACTGGAACTGCTATGGACAGGCGTGTCGCTTACCATTAGACTCACGGCTTGTTCGTCCCGTCACTTGATTTTATACAAAAAAATAATCCAAAAGTGACTTGTCCACTTTTTCGTGTGCAAGTTTGACTGACCCGGTTTTTGCTGAAACCATCACGTGAACCAAGCTTTGTTATGACATCAGAAATTCGGTGATTTGGACGACCACGCGCGCTCTGCTGAGGAGGAGTTCGATAAGCTTAAGGACGCCCTCGAAGGCGCCGAGGAGGAAGACGATAAAGACGAAAAGAGCGACACCTTGCTCGAAGAGAAGAAAAAGAAGAGTTCTACACCTAAGGTAAGAGTGAAATAGATTGTTCTCAGTTAATCTTAAAATTGAATCCATTACATTTATCTTATTTTAAGTTCTGATTTCTGAACTACGGAGATTCCTTCTGCTGCTCTAGGGATTTTTAATTGGTCGTTGTTTGCGATTCCCAGTCACGAAAAGGACCGCATTATTATCTATTCGTGTGAATACTAATTGAAGCGACTAAGATGTTCATCAAACCAGACGCAGTGCGGCGCAGTTGTTTAGTAATCCAACCGCGTGATCTTATCGTAAATCTTCTTTTTTGAAGATATTAACAGTAACAGTCAAAGGTGAATCAATCACCATGGAAAAAATAAATACTCGTAGTAAAATTCCACACTGATACGGTGTGAAAATACGATTCCTAAGAATTCTCGTAATAGAAAAAAAAACCCAAACTTACCTCGAAATTTTACAAAACCGCTGTATTCAATTTACTTATACCAATGATTGTTTTATACTAACTTAACTAGATAGAATACGCATAGTATACGACATACATTTTTCATATAACTTTAATTTCCTTTCTAAAAAAGTAAATTCTGAAATAAAGCCAGTGTCCCTGTCGCTCGACCCAATCAAAATAAACCGTATCAGTACGGGAAAAATTTTAATTCGAGGCTGAGGTAATATCTACTCTTAAACGTACTTTGAGCAACTGTGATATAATATTTACATTCTTTATTTTTTCATTAAGCACCTTTATTTTCAATTGATGATCTTAATTTTAATATAAATTTATTTTAATAGAAAAGGGTTTTCGATGGTTTACTTATGTAGAAAGGATGGATGTTACCATATTGACGGCACAATTTTATACAGCGGGTCTTGATGGTAAGGGCGGAAGACGTAAACTTCCACGTACATATCTCGGATCAAACTGGAGATATCCTTAAAAAGGCCAAGTTAAAAAAACCGGCAATAAACAGCCATGTATGAAGAGCGTGCCGATGAGGAAGAGAGAGGAGAAGGGGAAAGAAGTTTATCAGGGGCTTAACTTGTCATTGTTCATGGTCCCTGACTACCGCAGTGGGACACAGGCGTGTTGTATGTATTTATGTACTATCGTAGACCCTATATTTGCTCCAGGGCTAGGTAGCTGTCAAGAGCAAGTCCATTTATTATATATTTATTTATTAACTGCCTTGTTGCTGGTTTGCTACGCTGAGGTCCTGGGTTCGATTCCCGGGCCGGGAGAAATATAATAATAGAGCGCGTGCGTGCGTGCGTGCGTGTGTTTATCCATGGCACCCGTGATACAGGGTTTCCCAAGTGTGGGGCCATGAGTGTGTACGTTATTATTATTTCCTTTAAAAATATATAGGCACCTTTAGTAGATATTCTTTTTAATAATTTATATCGGGGGTGGGTGCATATGGTACGAATTCGATATTTTAAGGAGGGACCATCTCAACAAAGGATTGTAACTGTTCGACACTAAATGTTATCATAAATATATTGTCGCACTGTATACCAATTGAAATGGCTTGTTAATGAAATGATATTCGTATCTGACCGCATCTGCAATGCAAACTTTATAAGCGTGCAAGTTACTGACGAAATTGAAACATTCCTATGTTGTAAATTGACGTTTGCGCATGACAACTTTGAACTACATAGATCAATAGTGAGCCCTTTTCTTCGATAACTGGTTAGTCCTTTGATATTAATACAATCTTTGTCCTGCAAAAACGTGCAGCTAGGGCAATTTACTATCTGGTCCCCGGAGTGTCATTGAGAGATAAATTAAAAAAATAACATTGTTACTTATTATCGTCACAGTAAATTTATGTCAAGAATAATATTTTTTTTATGAAAAATAGTCATAAACATAACATTACAAAGTCACGAATTTATTTATAAGGCAATTCGCGTCTATGATAAGATTCTGTTTGATATTGACTTGAAAAACTTTACACTAAAGGTTTATTATACAATTTCTGCGTACTTTGATGACTAAAATTCACGGTAGTGACTCCTTTAATTTGTAACAGCTAGCCTCGATCTATGATGATAATCGAAATAAATATTGTAAAAGAAAAATATGTACAAATTATTAATACGAAGATCGAACACAAAAAAATTCCTTCGGTCCGGCTGGATTCGAACCAACGTCTTCAAGCAAACCATGCCAGGCAAAAAAGTCACGACAAAAAGGTCGTTAAAAACCAAAAACAAACTGCAACAGGCACATTGAAAAGTTCGTAAGATCTTCTGGTACATTCCGTGGCTTAGCGCGTACAAAAAGTGGGGAGGAAACCAATGGAAAAAAGTGGCAAATCAATGACAAGCAGCTTGATTTTGATCGTAAACTGCGGGTCGTATGCCACAACTCTACACGGTAAAAACAGATACTTAGAAAAAGACAAAGTTCTTTTTATGAAGACAAATTTATTAAATCCAACAAAACGATCCTCTCCCTATAAAAGCTAGAGAAAAAATTACTTGATAATAGTAAAAAAACGTCTCAAAAGTGTATTTTAGTTACAAGACAGAAATATTTAATCCATGAGCAAATTAATTTACTTCAAGTCACAAAGCCACAAAAAGAGTGAAAAATTGAGAGGTACTTAAATACAGGTGGGTGATAAATAACGTCATGATGAAAAAATCACGATGATCCGCCGGCAAACAGTGTCACCGTGACTCGTTCCGAAGGAACGACGTTCCAAAGTGACATAGGTGTTCCTCCGTTCCAATAGCTATCCCCGTCACTCACATCACGACATACGTATTTGATATAATGCGCGATCTCCGTTCCGTGGTGACTGAGCGCGCCACTCGTTGTAGTTCTCTTCAAATCGTGCCATTTCGGCGATGGGAGTGAATGAAATAGGATGACTTTCTTTGCTCACTCACAAGGGTCGTAGGTGCTTATTACTACTAGAAAAGGCGGATGAAAAAAATCTGCAGCAGTTATAAACCTATTTATGAATAAAGTAAAATATTTTTGTATATTTGTTTTATTATAGGAAGAATTAGTATTTTATATTTATGTATAATATAATATACTTTGTGTATTCTACTAGAAATATAATTATATTACACTTTATTGCTATTTTTAACAATTCAAAGATTCGCATTAAATAAGTAACAAACAAAATTACATTAAATAGAAAATCAACTTTTTGAATGGAATTGAAACATAACACAAAGAGAGTAAAAACTTAAATCATTCTATAAAAAACGGCTATAAGTATTAGAAAGAAGCCGCTGGCTAAAACCGTATATCGTGATGTAAGGTATAGGCGTGACAAGGTCACGAAAGGAAGTCGTGACAAAATCACGATGATTTATCACTGATTTTTTTAGATCCGGAACGACAGTCACGGCTATGGAAATATAACGCTATTCCCCATGTCTAAGTACCTATAATTATTTGACTGAAGATTTATGTTTTCTAATATCAAAAAGCATAAATTTACAGGGTTATGGACCCAACAGTGTGTCTCACTAGCGTGAAAGCACACATTTCAGTGCCAAACTTGCAAGTAGCAGAAATAGGACCGAATCTTCTCAAATACTTGAGGACCATTCAGAGTCGTGTAAATGCTACAGCGATAGGAAGCACTAACAATTCCAAATATATGACATGACTTTATACTATTGAAGTTAACAAAACGATAGCGCGTTTCAGAGTACAACTAATGCCATCTAGCAGTGGCGTGATGGAACTAATTGCATGTTAAAGTTGTGCTTGTTGCAAGTGTAGTTTGATTTCATGCTGAAACCAAATTTCGTAAATTAAGACTACAAATAACACCCTAACAAACTAGAGATACTACGTATTGTTTCTTTGGATAAATGACTGTTTATGATTTTTATGATTACAAGCACAAATAAAAGTAATGTGACCGCGTGCGCCTTCGGCGACATGTCACGACAACATTGACTATGAAAACGCAACGAAATGTTTCTTTAAGAATATACTCTAGAATTTAGAATATTAATCTGAATAGCAAACTACTTCTATTTTTGTTTAAGAATATATTTTCTACCCAAGAAATAATAATACATCCAAGAAATTTTGAATTCATTTAAGATTATTTAAATTTGATGTAAGAGGTAAAAATTTCTTGATGTAAGTAATGTCCAATTAATTGATTAGAAATGAAATAAAATCTTGAAGTGAACGTATTTGTCGTAAAGTTAGAATAAAGTTAAGAGTAAAATTGTATTAGAAAAAGATAAGCAATATTTTTGTAATGACAATATTTTATTACTTTTAATAAATATTTTTTCATAATTAGCAAATATTTTGAGAAATTGCTCTTTCTTATTAGTAGAAATCCTTTTTTTCTGTGTACTTAACGCTCAAGTCAGGACTTGAGTTGAGTATGACTTATAGCACTAGAAATCATAAACAAGTCCTTGCCATAGGGTCGTATTTCCAGTGCTTGAAATCGTACTCAAGTTCTGACTTGAGCATTGAGTAGAGTAGAGCGCAGAAGGGCGACATATTTTACATAGCCAGCGGGATCGTTGGGTTAGTTTAGTTAGGTCGGTTAGCTTAGTTCGCGGTATAGCCTACGCATTAAGTTTGTTATAATTAATAATACGAAAATCGGACAAAAATAAAAATTATTTCAATAACGGGACTCAAAAGTCAAGTCAAAGTGAAATAATCTTTATTTCATAGGTAAGCAAATTATACTTGAAATCGTCATACTGATTAAACTCTACTGCTCATTCCTAAGGCAGATTCCCCTGAGAAGAATGAGCAAGAAACTCTAGGGGTTGCTCTTTGTAAATATACATTTGAATACATTTATCATTACGATATTTAATTTAAATATCTTAGATCGAGAATACCTAAAAGCGCTAAACGGGTCACTACCACGGATTTTTGTCATCCAAGTACGCAGAAGTTGTATAATAACCTTTAGTATGCTTTTAGTATAAAGTTTTTGTTTCACAATAGATTTAAACCTCTTAAATGGCAAATTTTGAATATCAATCGGAATCTTATTGTAGAAGCCTATACA